CCTATCCTTCCCCGCTTCTCTCTTGCCATTTTCACCTGGTCTGATACTTTTGAGAGCTGCCACCATCAATGTGTTCCTTAGAACTCCCTTTCTGAATAGATTATCTCTGGAACTTTCTTACATCTCCTCTTTGCCCCACAGCTCCTTTGGCTTCGTTTCCTTTCAAATTAAAACACAGGGATAATCAAAATACCTAAAAAAAAAAGTTTTTAAATTTAAAAATCTTTCTACTCTCTCAGGACCATGAGCCTTGGCCTGTATCAGAAAGCCAATTATCAGGTAAGCAGTCAATAATAAATTGAATTATTTTGTTTGTAATTCTTATGATTATTAAAATTAATGAAGTGTTATGAAAAGGAATTTAAGCTAGGAGATAGAGAAAAAAGCTAAAGCAGTTAAAATAACTTTCCTTGAGGAAACATCCCAAATGAATAATCTTTCTTTTTCTGTTTATTCCCAAGAAAGAACAAGGCGAGATAATTCTCCGAGCTTAAACGTCTGATTGAGAGTGTTACGGAGGAGAACTAAGAGCTTCCCTGGGATGAGCAGGGAGCGGGCGTGGGGAGAGAGAGCTCCACGCTGGGGGGTTCCGACATCCTCTGGTGGCAGAAGCAGCTGCGTGGACAGGACCTAACTTCAAATTAAGCTAACTGTGGACATGTTTAAGGGCAGGACACCATCACTTAAGGCTTTCACCCAGCAGGGAAGCAATCTGATTTTTACTGACTAAGGAGGAAGAAGTGCTTTGAGTAATCAAGCAGTTGGTAGGAGACCTGAGATAAATGCATGATCTGAAATCTGAAATTTCCCTTGGAAAGGGCTGCATTGAGCGAGTTTTAAAAAAGACCCCAGGTGAATTGGAAAGGCAGTCAGCATTTAGCATTCCCTGGGGTCAGACCTTGTGTTTAACAGGTGATGCTGTGTAATGTTCACAGAACAGAGTCTATTGCCTTTTAATAGATAAAGAAGGTAAGATAAATGATTAAAATGACCTATCAACTAAGTGAAGCCGTGCCTCCAAGTGAGGTGTGTATGATTCAAAGCTTCCAATGTAGAACAAAGTCAATTCTCCTTTCCACTAGACTAATATTCCTTAAGACATCATCATTACAACATCTGCGACTTTAAATTTTCAGCACAGACAGCATGAAGTTGCGTGCGCGTGTTTTAAGTAACAATCCAGAGGCAGCTAGCATTCTAATCAGGCAGCCACATGCCAGAGGTGGTCACGAGCATGCTCTCAAAAACACTGCAGCCACTCCAGACGTGACTGCTCCAGGACTGCTGCTAACTATTCCTGTCATCAGTTTTTGAAAGTCAAGTTGAGTTTTCGTTTGTAAAAATGGTGGTTTGTGAATTAGCATAAGTGACAGGTTAATGTTAGGAAAGAGATCTCAGTGGTGAAATTAAAGATATTAAGGATATGTATTTTGCAAAACATCTTTTAGAGACAGCCACAAACTGTATGAAAGTGGAATAAGACTCCAGTGAGGTCTGTGGCCTGAAGCTGTGGAGATGATCCTAGATTCTGGATCAGTGAATCTGTGCCAGCTATTAGCTTAGGAGCTTTCTGTTGCCTGGCACTGGGTCTGGGTATAGCTGAATTCTGCCTCTAAAATATTGCTACAGCTGCCTGAAGAGAACAGTTTATTCAAGAGAAGGCAAGTCAGAGTGAGGACTTCAGGGACCTGACGAAGGAGTTTCTATTAACAGCGTTGTTCTTTTTAAATAAATGTCCGTATGGGCACCAGGGGCTTCTCTGGTGGCTCAGGGGTAAAGAATCAGCCTGCCAATGCAGGAGACATAGGTTCAATCCCTGGGTTGGGAAGATCTCCTAGAGAGGGAAATGGCAACCCTCTCTAGTATTCTTGCCTCGAAAATCCCATGGACAGAGGAGCCTGGCGGGCTACAGTTCACAGGTTTGCCAAAGAATCAGACACGACTTAATGACTAAATGGCAACAACAACATGTGTACCAGACCCTGACTGGGGCTTCCTTTCACTGCTCCATGGTGGAAAAGCTTTCTGAGAGCAGCTAGTTCTTACCTATGTCCCTTGTCAGTGGCTGACGTTGCTTTTCAAAAATAATCTAGAGATGAAAGGAGAGAGTAGCATGGACGCACACACACTGTCCTATGTGAAATAGACAGCCAGCGGAATGTGCTGTATGGCTCAGGGAATGCAGACTGCAGCTCTGTAACAACCTAGAGGGGTGGGAAAGTGTGGAAGGTGGGAAGGAGGTTCGAGACGGAGGGGACATATGTACTCCTATGGCTAATTCATGTTGCTGTATGGTAGAAATAAACCAATATTGAACAGCAATCATCAATCAATTAAAAATAAATATTAAAAAGGATCTAATAGATACTCATGCAAATTGGTTGTTACATCTACAATTCTGTTCCTCAGATCCTTTGTTTCAGAATCACCTAAAGTTTAGAATTCTTCACTTTCTCAGCATCCTGCATTCTGAAGTTCGAGTAGTGGGGCCCAAGAATCTGGATTGTGACAAGTTCCTCTAGTGATTCTCCTATGCTCTGAGGATTTAGTCAATGAAGATATAACCAAAGAAGCGCCATGATCATTTGCTCAAAGTATTTCTCAATGGCAGAATAAAGACCCAAGAGGGAGGAAATACGATCCTGCCCACCGGGTCTGAAAAACCAGAATCTGTAAAGCAATAGTAAATAGAACACTATAAAGCCCTCATATCCTATAAACTCTATGCCATAAATTTGTGTTATAGCTTTTTGCCTACCCATCTAGATGGAAATAGATCAAAACTTGCCTTAAGCATTTGGCAAGGTCATTCATGGCCAAAGATATTCCACTGTCATTTGTATGAATCAGGATTATCAATAGCTTTCCAACTGACTATTGTGATCCATTTTCTGACAGCAATGAAAACTGTTAGCCAAAAGCCCATCATGTTAAATATGATTTGGGATAAAACCAGTTTAGCTCTTGTGTTACTTTTTTTTCACATCAGTAAGTCCAGTTTATTCACTCATAAGACATCTTGTCTGGCTTTCATCTGCTCATCAAATATTTATTGAGAGACTTTTAAAAAACATGTAGCTCTAACTCCCAATGAACAGTCATGGAAGATTAAAGAAGTGGGGGTCTAGTTCAAGACTTCTATCTCTGAGTTGTCACTCATTGTCACATTGTGATACAGAGGGGAGAAATACCCCGGTGCAGGAGTCACAGGTCTTGAATTCAGGGGCTGGCTACAGACTCAGTCTAAGTCTGTAGGCTATACTGCAAGTCAGTATAGCTCATAGGGCTTCTATTTCTTCTTTTAGATAATTATGAATGAAATGTTTGCCTCATTTATTTTTCAGTTTGCCAATTCATTTATCAATATTTATTGGTCATCTACTAAATTCCAGGAATTTCTATAGGACCTTGGGGGATACAGCAAGAAACAAGATAAACAAGATGACTGTTCTCAAGTAGGCTTATTCTCATAATTAGACAAATTTTAAATTAGTGATATAAAAACATATTATTTAATATGCAAATAGATATAGGAATATTAATAGGTATATTTCAGGGGAAAATATATGCATACATATTTTTTAAACCATATACCAAAGCCTCTTGTGAGGATGAGTGTGTGCATGCATGCTCAGTCATGTCTAACTCTGCGACCCTATAGACTGTAGCCCACCAGGCTCTTCTGTCCATGGGATTTCCCAGGCAAGAATACAGGAGTGGGTTACCATTTCCTACTCCATTTCTAATGATACAATGTATGCTTTTAGATCTCATATTGGGTGATTAGAATAAGAAAGGTATAATCTCATGAAAGACATATTGATCTAAACAACACACCTAGTATTTTAATAAAATAGATCCCTATATTTAATTAATGAAAAAATCATTTTCTGGCAGGATGCATTTCTCAATTAGAAAACACATCAGGTCTGTGCTTCAACACTATTGCATACATAGAAGTAGAATTTATCATTTGAGAAATCTTCCTTTCCCCTAATCTTTTTATTACTTAAGAATTAAGACATCTGTGATAAAGTGGCTTCATGTAAGGCAACCTCTGTTAGGCAGCCTCTCAGGATGGTCCCATTAACTTCTCATTCCTTGTGTAATCCCCTTGCTTTAAGTGTGGGCTAGACTTAGTGACTTGCTTCTAACTGTGCATGACAGAAGTGATGGGATGTGCCTTCCAACTGTATATGACAGAAGGCCAGATTATTAAAAACAACAGCAAAATATTTATAGTTTCTACCTTGTAAACTTTCTCTCCTGCTTACTGGTTTTTCCCTCTCCCCAACCTTTTTGCTACCCACTACCCCACTTCACTTCTCTCAATCCCTCTGTCTCTCTCTCTCTCCACAAACACACAGGCACACACTGCCCCATCATCTATAGAAGAGACCACTTGAAAAACAGAGGCTTTGAAGGATCACAGCTGTATGGAGATGAACCGAGGTCCCCCAGCCAACAGCCAGCACAAACGGTCAATCACGTGAGTGGACTTTCTTGGATGCGGACCCTCCAGCCCAGTTAAGGCTTCATATAACATAGCCCAGGCCAACAGCCTGAGTATAAGCTCAGAAGAGCTGAATCATTTCTGAATTTGCAATCTAGAGAAGCTGTGAGATAATGTTACATGTTTGTTCTTTTAAGCCAAACATTAAACTAATTACTAAGGTCTGGAGTAATTAGTGACACAGCAATAGATAATATATAATCCAAGGACATGATTATTAAGAACAATATTTTAAGAATGAAGGGATTCAGAATCTCATGCTTAGAATATTGGGACTAGGAGAAACTGTTGACAGCATGTTAATATTATCAAGAAGAAATAATAAATTTACTACTCCTTTTAGTTCCGTGGGATTACAGAATTTGTCTGCTTTTACCTGAGATCTACTGAGTCCACTGAATCAACACAAATACTTCATAATCAAACGTTATTGAAACTCCATTTTTAGCAATGCATTAGTTAGCCAATAAAAAAATGGTAGTCCTACCTCCAAAAAAGTACTTTTCGCCAGTTTTAACTTGAAGAGGACTGTTAGTTCGAACTGCTGAGGCTTCATCTCCATCGATAGTGAGAACAGCAAAATTCTCCTTCGCTAGGAAACGGACCTCATGCCACTGGCCATCATTCAACCCAGAACCTGTTAAATACAAGAGAAAAGACCATTTTAAAAAAAAGATTATTCAGTTTTAAGTAAAGTTTAATATCAACAGAGCTTTGTAAGTAAAAATGAACATATTTTGATCTAGGAAAATTCAGTACAATTAATATCTCACATTTAATATTATAAATCATTCTCTCCTCCACTGGACCAAATAGGGCATAGCAGTGAAGGAAAATAGAACATGCCATCCCAGAAAAGGCTATTTCAGCATATTGATTATTTTGAAAAAAAAGTTACTTAAGAAACAGCCAGCACAATAAGGATACTCTGACACCCTCTTTGTCTCCCTGAAAGCAAAAACTAAGTCTTTCATGTGAAAAAATTCCCTCCCTGTACTAGGGAGGCTGTAACAGGCTTCCTTATCACCAGGAAGAGGGAAGTTAGGGCCAAGAAGACTGTATAAACAATCCTTATTCTTCTTAATTTGCTACCCCAAGCCTAAATTTTTGTCAATTCTTCTTCACAGTTTTTTTTTTTTCCCCCTTTGTCTAAAAAGGTTTAAAATCTGCCTACACTGGTTACTTCTTTGAGTCTCATATTTCTGTGAGTGCCCATACATACAAAATTATACTTGTTTTCCTGCTGCTAATCTGTCTATTTCAATTTAATTGTTAAACCAGCCAAAGAACCTAGAAGGGAATAAAGGACAAGTCTTCCTCCCCTACAGCAGTTATTTGTGCTAATTGACCACTAATAGGTATGAAAAATGATACCAGGATTATCTAATCATTTACAAATAAGATATCATTATAATGAATTAAGTTATATTTAACTAGACACAAATAAAATAAATGAACTCCCTAACAATCACATTTCAGTCTTGCCTAGCACAAAGATCTTTAAAGACAAAATCTATTTAGTTCTCCATTGGACAGAAAAATAACTAAAAGTTACTGTTCAGTTTGTATTCGTTTTACAAAGAATAATTAGAAAATTAAGGAGCAAAGACAAGAGAACAGCCTTTGAACAAAAGTACCTGGAAATAGTTCAAGGGATACTAAGACATACACAACAGTGTCTAAGACACAGACACAAGCTCTGAGTCAGAGTGGCTTTCTTTCACCTTACAAAGGCCTATGCAAAGGGAAGATAGTTTGTTCTAGACTGTTCCAGATAGCTTAATCTACAGTCCATAGGTAGAAGTTATTGAAGGTGCACTTCAGCCTCACAAAAGAAAGACAAGCCTAGCATGGAAAAGCATCCGAAAATGGAATGAGAGAAAATCGATGAAGCAAGGATGATGGTTCCAAGCCTCTGATCAGAGGTCTGAAAACCAAAGCTTATGGGCCAAATACTGCCTCCTACCATCTGTTTCTATACAGCCGGGGAGCTAAAAATAGTTCTCACATTTTAAAATGTTAAGAATAAATGAAAAGAATAACAATATTAAATTACATGTGAAAACTATATAAAACTCAAGTGTTTCTACTGGAATACAGCCAAACTCATTTGGTATATATATCGTCTTTCTACAGAGTCAAACAATTGGCTGCGGAGACCGTATGATCCACAAAACGTAAACTGTTTACTGAGTCGTCCTTTTCCCTTATAGAACAAAGCATAAACTAGTGATTGGTGTACATTAGTAAACAGAAATACCATTTTAAAGAAAAAAACAGAAGGCCTCTTGGGGCTTAAAGATAGTCACATATATATGGCATTAACTAACATTATACTAGTAAATATTACTGCAAATAATCACTCCCTCAGCCTTTTTTTTTTTTTAAGATTTTCAAATTTTTACTTAGTAATATTTATTGAGCACATTTTATTTTAGTGGAGGAAAACAGAAAACCCAGCCCCAAAATAATTAATACTAAATAATTTTCAAAATATGAAATGTATAATATAAGCCATTACATAGATAAAAGTTTTGTACTCTGAAATTACTATATAAATATACAGTCTTATTCTAAAAGGGAAGTCCGTTAGCTGCCAGACAAGCAGTAGTGTTTACTGAAACAATTCCTTCTCTATTAGGTTGCTTTTGGGTTCCCGTGCAGAATTGATCCGTGGACGACGACACCTTCACCATAACATTTTCCGTTAAAGTATAAATCTGAGGTTAATGTTAATTAGCCACAGAATTGTATGGTTTTGATTTTGTTTTTGCCTCTATAGTGTGATGAACCCTGCTTTGAATCACATTTTGAGGGTATGGGTCCCAAGCACAGCAATGTTACAAATGTTTCATCCTAAATAATAACACATTCAAAGAAAGTCATTTACAAGCTACCTGAGGCAACTGGGCTTTCTGTTCTAAACTGTAGACCAGAAAGCCTTTCTAAAAAATTCTTATGAAAACCTCATCATAAAGTTAATTTATAAATGGAAAATTATCAGTTTTAATTGTTCATTACAAAAAGGTCTATTATTCTATCAGATTAAAATAAAAAGATTATTTTTTTTTCAAGAAACTTAATCACTAGAGAAATTGGACCTCAGGAAAAAAGTAGCCTTGTTGATAGCATCCACTGCTGCTTCTGAGCCTGATCTGTGATTTCTATTCATTTTTATTCCAATTACTGTTTTGAACTGTTAATGTTAATGACCAAGAGTGTTGGCTTTTTTTTAATAACATGGTTAAAGAGAAATGTTAAGAAGCAACACATTTTCCTTTGAGCAATGGCTTATTTCTGGCCCATTGAAAAGTGATTCATTGCTCAAAAGAAAATTTGTTACATCTTAAAATTTCTCTATAACCACATGTTATTAAAAAACCACTCTTGATTTTTGCTTTATTATATTTGGGGCCCATTTCTATCAGATTGCTGAGGCATACCTCTTGATGATTAACAGTAACAGTTCAAAACAGTATTCCCCAGAAATAACTTTTTTTGAATTACTATCCCCAATAAATAGGTGGGAGAACGGAACATAACAATGTTTAGGCATTCTATACATGGTAAACGGCAGAACTGGGAACTAGGACTCAGACATACCTAGTTCCAGAGGCTGATTTCTTATAAACAGCAAACAAACAAACAAACAAAGAAAAACAAGCAACAATTAAACATGGCATGTAGACTCTGTGCATCCATGATCTCTTATACCACACACACACACACAAACATTTCCATTTGCCACCAGTCTGGAGGGAGCTCAGCTTCTGGGGTACCCTTGTTTCATACAGTGTCAGAATTGCAAATAAACCGAGACACTATCCAGTTTCATTTGACAATTTTCAACATTTACATTACTACTACATGTCTTTCAGTATTTTCTTACATTGATGTTTTTTACCTTAAAATGCAATATGAATGGGAAATTTGTGAGTTTGAGAAGCAAATTCTAGCACTGTTTCCCCGAGGCATATTAAAGTAAGCCCAGGAGTATTCATTTAAATCATCTCTATACTTTGTGAAACTCAGCAAACAGAACTGTGTGCTCACTCCCTTCACGTTATCATGAGTGGATAAACCAATGATCGTGAACACGCCATCTTTTAGTTTGTTGGACTGAGATCCTAATCGAGACCTTTTGCACTTGAACAAGTTTTTACCATTTCTCAGAACTCAGTCATTAAATTTTAGGGCATGAAAAAAGAAGATGCCACAGTTTCAGCGTAATTTCCCTCTGCTTGTGTCCATTCCCTTCAGTGTAAGGGAGACCTGAACAACTTTGTATGAAACACAACTGATGAATGTGCCTTTATCATTTCCTGGGCCACCAGCCACCTGCAGGAAGTAGTAGAGAATTAATTTTGCTTCAGAGAGGCTCTATGAAGAGCCTCTCTGAGGTATTAAAATTAATAATATTGTTTAGTATTTTTAATTCATATGAAATGGAATATTAGCAAAATTTAAAATTAGTTAAATATTAAATTTTGGAATTTAATATATAACACTCACTCAGAATAGGGGTTTCCCAGGTGTCTCAGTGGTACAGAATCCAGCTGCCAATGCAAGAGCTACAGGAGAGGTGGGTTCGATCCCTGGGTCAGGAAGATCCCCTGGAGGAGGAAATGGCAACTCACTCCAGTATTCTTCCCATGGACAGAGGAGCCTGGTGGGCTATAATCCATGGGGTCACACAGAGTTGGACACGACTGAGCACTGAGACATTCATTCAGAATACTGCATTTGATCATAAGATATACGCCTACAAGTATCAGTATAGTATTCAGGGGAAAAAATGTATCGCCATCCCAAATTTTCTTAGAATCCTGCGAGTCATAACCAACAAAGAACACACCACCAAACAGGATTCAGGCATCACTTCTCATTTGCTAGTAAAGTGGTGGTATCCCTTCACTCAGTATTCCAGAGCTACAAATGTCCCTGGGAGTGGAGACTCGCCAGGGACCTGATCCATAATCCTGGACACAGTGGTGTCTTGGTGGCTGGAGAGCGACTCAGGACTGCACCAAAGTAGGATGCTGCTAGTTATTGATACCTACCAAAGAGACTCAAGTCTCATACAGTTAATGCTTCCTAGGAGCCTTGGATGTGCCTGGTACTACCTAACTCGGTACATGTCAATCTATTGCCTTTTCTCAGTAGCAGGCAGCAAGATGGCAGAAGGGCAGGAAAATAGTGTGCTGGCCAAGGGACTGACATGGGAGCCGGGCTGCCTGATTCTGCTCTGACCCTGGTCAGCCTCGGCAGTTTACTTAACCTTTCTGTGCCTCGGGCTTCTCTTCTCTAGAAAGCAAATAATAGTATCCATGTTGTAGGCTGGTTTTGAGGAGTAGATGAATTAGGGATTGAATAGTGTTAGAACAGTGCCAAGTACCTAGGAAATAGCATAACTGTATCTATAACATTAGGTCAAAAAACAAGGAAGGTTGATGAGTTCATTTTACAAAGAAAAAAAATCTGAGACTTGAACAGAGTACTTTTTCTTTGGGGGTTATTGCATTGCAATTACACATATTGGTGTAGTTATAACAAGCCTTTTAAATAAGACAGCAATATAATAACAATGTCGAGGTGATGAATAAATACATGAGACCGAAAAAAGTGTCCTAACATTAT